CCCTAAAAATTGGTGAAAATTGGCAACAATGGACCGTTACGCCTTTTGAAATTCACAGGAAGCCATTTTTATGGCCAGATATGAAAAGTACGTAGAAAAATACATATAGTACACACCCATAGAGGGTGACAAAGGTCGAGAAACATTCTAAAGAGCTACCTTCAAGTAAAGGAAGGCCGCTAAAATCGACATCCCAGTCAATTTTCACATCGTGGGAATCCAGGTACAACTATAATTTTTTGATATGTTGTATATATAGGTAAGAGCTGTTACGTACGTCAATATACAGGTTGTACTCCACTTTCTTGAACCTTAAGCGTGGCAATTCATCGAATTTTTGCCATTTTTGGCTCTTTGGGACGATTTTTCTCGAAAATTTGGCAACATAGGGAGAAGTTTCACAGAACATCTTTGATTCATTTTTTTGCGTGCTTTTCAAAAACGTACTCGATTCTTAGTTTGAATTAATTTTTGCGTGTGTAAAATTGAAAAAAACCCCTAAAAATGGGCCAAAATGGCAACAATGGACCATAAGGCCCCTTAAAATTTATCGGAGGCCTTTAAAAAGGCCAGAAACGGAAAGTACGCAAAAAAATACATAGGAATCATCTGCTGAAAGGGTTGTAACAGTCGAAAAAGTCGACGAAAAAAAGGATTTTTCGATGCCGACGTTCTGGGTTTGAGGCGTTGTTGCACCTTTGCATGGGCTCCGTTCGGTAAAATATTTGGCATAAAGTCTACCTAGGACTGGTACTTTGAAAATATGAAACATTCAGCAAAATCCGGGTGGGGCCGGAAAAGGCCCAAAACGACACTCCTCCTTTTACTTGCGCAAACAAATGAAATAGTGTAGATACATACCTTCTGCAGAGGTCAATGCGAAAGACTTGGATTTGAAGTATCTTATCAAAACACGAGGAAATTTGACGATTCAGTCAGCTTCTGACGCAGAATTCAAGAGACTTCCTAATAAACAAATTAGAGGTAATGCTTTAGGTCAAGTATGTTTGATTTTGTGACGCTTAGTTGATCTTTATCAGTACCTACAACATTATTTCTCACTAAAAACATTTCACTTTAACAGAGAAATGCCTTCGGCTGAAAGTACAATCCTGATTCCTGCTGCATACTACATACACACTTCCTTTGGCTTTCTCATCAGCAGACGCTGTTGAGTAAAACGGTTAGAAAAAACTTTATATTATTACGAGTGTATGTACCCGAAAATTGAAACACAAATGGGAAACTTTACACACTAAACTCTTTTTTTTTTTTTTTTGTTCTGCTGGTTTAATGGCTTCGTGTCGGCCGGCAAGTCACGTCACATTTCGAGATATATCGCGATTTTAGGCCTGGTGCCCTAACCGGGATTTGGTCGGTTCGATTTACATGGGATTTCCTACAAGGAACGGAAAGTCAATTTTCAAACGCTAACGGAGGTGTTCCATGTGTGAGGAATTTGCGATTTGACTGTGGATTCTCATGTGAAAGTTCGCGAGAAACACGATGGTGCCACTTAGAGTACCTTTATAGACAGAGTATGGCCATTTCTGTTCCGGTTTTTCATTGGTCGCGTGAAAATAGGCTGACACGATGTTCTTACGACCGTAAATAAACAAACACGATGGCTGTTATCAGCAAGCAAGATTGAGGTTATGCACATCTAACATCCTCCTGTGATAAAGGTGAAAGGCGATTTAACAATGTTTCCATGTGTTTTTCGTGTGCTATTCGTAGATATACTAGTTTAAATTGTTACTGCCGTATAATTGAAATTTTCGTCAAATTTAGCTTCTTATCGATGTTACGGTGAGCCGCCATCTTGCTTGTTTATTTACGGCCGTAAGAATATCATGAAGCCTAAAAACTCGTTGACCAATCAAAAAGCGGCACAGTTTTCCTGTAGTCAAAAGATACGAATGGCCATAAGCCGACTGCACACACAGCAGGTGTAGAGTCCCTTTATACCCACAGTTAAGACAACTCACTTTTGGTTGGGCTGATAGTGGCCTAAAAATAGATCCAATTCTGATTGGTTCTCGCTCATGAAGGCCGAAACGAGTGCCCCAAGATGGCGGTACCTCGAATGTGAACAAGAATAATGAAAATATTACCTAATTGTGGTTTATCAAGAGTAAATTGTTATTTCCATCGGTCCCAAATGAAAATAGATTGAGAAATTATTCACAAACCAAACTCATTTTCTTTTTAATCGATCAATTTTGTTGATGTTGTTGTTTTCGGATGACAGACATTGCAGGATTCCTGATCCTTATCCCTCAATATCGTTCGTTTGGGTGCACTCGTTTCGGCCTCCATGCCCAGCCAAGGCCGGCTGCCAGTCAGCTGATAATCGAGTTGTCTTAACTCTGGGTATTAAGGGACTCTAAGCAGGTGGGGATCTGCAAGTGACTGCACGTTGCACGATGAACACTCAACACAGCGGCGCCGATGTGCCACTTGCAGGCACTTGCAGGTCCCCACTTGCTGTGTGTGCAGTCGGCTATACTCTGTCTTTAAAGGTACTCTAGTGCCACTTGTTTCCTCTGAAATCAACTGCCAAGCTCAAAAAAAGCTCTCAAAGTCGAAGGCGTAATGGAGGGAATATTCCACGCTATCCTGAGAGTCCACCTCTACATCAAGACAAACTCTCCATGCAAAGATAGGGAGCTAATACAGTGACAGGGCTGCCGCTTTATTTGGGGACTCTAAAACTGAAAACACGGCATCCCTGTTAATGTATTTGCTCCCTATCTTCGCATGGAAAGTTCGTCTTGAGGTAGAGGTGGACTTTTAGGATATCGTGGGATATCCCCTCCATTTTTGCCTCAACTTGAGAGCTTTTTCTGAGCTTGGGAGTTGATTTCAGAGAAAACCAGTGGCCCCATCGTGTTTCTCGCGAACTTTTACATAAGAATCAATAATCTAATCGCAAATTCCTCACACATGCAACATCTCCATTTTGGGTAGTTTCAGACAGTTTCTGCCGGATTTTTTTGCGATTATGAGTTCTATATATCCTCAAATGTACATCTTTATCTGGTAAATCCCCAAGATCGCATCGGATAAATTAGTTATACTCAATGTATCGAAGCAAGTCCCGAAAGTGAGGTTATGTTACCTTTTTGTTATTGTTCATGAGATTCGCTATCTATGAAAAAAACAATTCTGCGCGTCTCCTAAGTTAGTTTTTCTCTTAGAATTTATCTATAATGACAAAACCTAAACATCCGCACCTAGGTAGTTAGTTGAATATTTGATACCAATATTTGTTTTCTCCCTCCTATAGTGTTGCTCTTCATTCGTTCCAGCCATAAATCCTTCAGTTTTGTGTCATTTTATTCATAATTTTTCCTTCTAAACACTCCAATTCATAGGTAGTATTGTTTAAATCAATTTCAGTCGATACCTTCAGAGAAGAGCTGATTCATTGACGCTGTGGAGAAGTTGTCTCCGTTTGATCCTATCGATGTCGGTAAGATTTTGAAGGTACTTTATCGATAACATTAGACTTCTCGAACACTGAAATTGCCAGGTTCTTATTGGCATACGCACAGTACCGTCAGTGTGCCCAACTTGGGAACACGTTTGAACACGTTTTGTTGAATATTTCGGCGGTATATTAATATTTTGACCTGCGGTCTGGCGCAAATGAAATATCTTTTAAAGCAGATTCCGATAGTCTACTTGTTTTCCCCCCAATTTTTTTTATTTTATTTATTTTTTATTTTTTTATTGGTGTCCCAAGTTAGGCGCATAGGTACCCATCTTGGGACACCTGATTAAATTAGCTAAAAACGTCATGTTAGATGCCTAGAAGCAAACTTGGGACATAGATTGTCTTTTTAAAAAAGAAAATGAGTCACTGGGCACATATTTTGAGCTTTTAAATTTAATGTTAAGTATTCAAACAATATAAAAAAAATATAGAACAAAGTCAAATTAGTGGAAATGACCTTACAAAGGTTTGTCCTAAGAACAAAACAAGTTTAAAGAATAGAATCCTACGTATACCTAGTTAATAAGATATAATTTGATAGGTAACATATATGGCAACGTAGTATGAAAAGTTTGGTAAACACAACAACCACCCCACCTGGGACACCTGTCCCAAGTTGTGGCCACATCAAAAAAATTCCGGAAATTTTGAGGTTATGAAATGAAAAAACAGTATCCAAAATGTCGGACTATGTAATCAATCATCTCATCTAAATGCCCGAGGTCTCTGGAAAGTCCCAGGACTTCAACCGTCAATTCTCTTCAGTACACAGACCAGACATATCATGCACTATAATTTTCACAATAAATTATTTACCAAGAAAAACGTAAAAATATTACTTACAGAGGGTGGTAGCGGCCTCCGAGCACGTCAGTCCTTAGAGCGGGATGGTAGGTGATCAACAACAGAAAAAACATCAACAATAACACTCAAAACAGTGTTGCCACGGGGTTTCGAAAAAAAAAATCCCTAAATGTCCCAAGTTAGATGACCGTCCCAAGTTGGGCACACCGACGGTATAAAAGGCATATTAAGGTTAATCTTCAGCTGTAGTTCCGAAAAAATCCACCACGTCGCGCTGCTAAAATCCGACTCCGAAATCAGTGATTATTTAAATATCACAATAGGTATCTTAAATTCTAAGACTCATAAGTTCTAGCAGCATACGTCTGGAATCCTTAGAAACAAACGCGAGCTTTGAAAGTCTAATAATAAAAGCTGTAAATTGATCCCAGTTTCTCTTACGGGATATCTGTAAGTGCGAGAGAGACAGCTCACGGTGGGAGAGAGATATCTGCCAACTGCTGAGAGCGATCAAGCGCGATTGGTTGCATCAAGGTCATCATGCTTAACCCTACTTTTTTCTGGGATCAAATTGCAGAGCTTCAGAAATGACTTTTCACGTTGTTTTTAGGGTCAACAGGAAGAAGAATGTTATGGCTAGAACTTATAATTCTTCGATTTAAACAGAAATTCCTTCAACTTTAATAAAAGCTCAAGGACTCACGTGGAGCTGTACGGACTCTAAAACACAGCGGTGGCGCCCCCTGCGCGGAGAAATTTCTTACTTCACGCAGCTGTAGATAGACCTTAAGGCCTTGTCTCGACGGCGCAACTGTTGAGGGAATCAGGTGCAACTGTTACGAGTTTGTTGCACCGACCGAAGTTCCCTGTCTCGACGCACAAGCATTTGTTCCTGGAACTTTTAGGCGGGAATATTTGAACAACATTAATATTTTTAGGTTAAACGATGTCAATTGAGGTAACTGAACTGATAATTATGAACGGGCGGTGAATATTTTGCGTTATTTCGACCAGGTATAAAACAAAAAACAATAACATGACACAGATATGGATAAAAAGAAAATATATTCGATAAAATTTTATTTTCTTGCTGTAGTGAAATGCTGCAAACGAAAATATAAAATTAATACTGAAATGTATACAAATATTTCTAAGTAATAACCGCTCCCGAATGAAACACCCGTAATAAACTCCCGCTTCACGTGTAACCAGCGTTTATCAATTCAAAATACTAAGAAGGTAAACAACTGTTAAGGTTCCTGGTTTCTGACCTTGAAAGTTTCTCTTATAAGTGAAACATTTTTGAGACACTTCCTTCCTTCAACAGTTCCGCCGTCGAGACAAGGCCTAAGGTAATGCTGCCGTGCTATAGCCCTCGTCCCACGATCCAATGAACTCATCAAATGCAAGATAGCGGGTTCATCAACATTTGACGGCCCGCTAACATTTGATAGCGGACTTGCGCGAAAACCTGTCGCCATCATGCATTTGATGAGTATTTGATAGGTTGATTTGATCGTGGGACAAGGGCTTAAGGAAAAACGCCGGATGAACATTCGAGAGTCGCCAAATTTCCTTCGATAAAATGTTTATTTTTGAGGAAAGTTATGAATATTTTTTCTCTAAATTTTCAGAATCTTTGGGTGAAATTGCAATCAAAATTATCTGAAAATTTGGGACAAAAATATTCGTAAGTTTACCAGGTCATTCGCGTCTTATCAAAGGAAATTTGGCATTGCCTGAAGGTTCATACGGCGTTTTTCCTTAGCACGTCAGAATAGGCATTCATTAGAATCTGTTTATAACATCTAAAGAAAGGTAGGTATCCATAGCGGGGAGCGGGTTGTCAAGCGTACCTATATTGAGAGAGTATGGCCACTGGAGTTACCACCTCTGATTGGCTCAGCCATCTTAGGCTGAATGGAGCCCTTAGGACCCAAAAATGGCGGACGCCATAAAGTTAATGTAATGCACAATGATTCAAAATGTAGTTGTCTTTGCTTATTGTAACGAGAACTTAACCCAAATGCACTATTGCGACTTTTTTTACATATTTTTAAGGCTAATCGTGTGCAATTTTCGAGAAAAATGATCTTATATGTAGTAAGGTTGGCAGCAAGCGCGGTTGGTGATAACCGTCAAAAGTTGGCAATGACCCCCCTCCCATCCTCAAAAACCAAAACAAAGCACCGCCATTTTTGGGTCCTAAGCCTCTCCATGGGACCCAGTGGCCATACTCTCTCTTAATATAGGTACTCTAGGGTTGTCCAACTTCAGATTAAGTTTTGTACGGCTCTTCCGCCCACGAAATGTTAGAGACCTTTATAGAGACAAGGAGGAAATCCACTGCTAGTCTTAGTTCATACACCAATAATTTAGATTATACACGCAAGGAGGAAATCCACTGCAAGCCTGACTTTTTTACCATTATGTGTGAAATTATGAAATCATAAAAGCAAGGAGGAAATCCACTGCAAGCCGTATGATCCTCTTTCACAATTTTTTGATTGTTGTCACACTTGATCACGTCGGGGTCACCATTTTGTTGAACTATGCTCAGCAGTAATTAAATCATACGATGATTCAACCATAAAGCGTATAAAATTGGAATAGGTAATTTTATTAACAGTTTTTTATACCATTTTCTGAAAGCTCTTAAGCCTTTGCCCTACATTTCCGATCCATCTAATGATAGATTTGGTGATGCGCTGTCTGCTTCTCTGGTCCCCACGCCCCGAAAGTTATGTTAGTCTCATTAAGTTGATGCTGTGTAATGTCATCTGAAAACATTCATATGTCTCGATTTTTGGTCGTTTACTAATTCTCTAAAAGGATGACGAAGTATAAAAATGCGAAACCTCGCGACTCATGATCTGTTCGAGAATGTGGATAATTTTGGGACTCGGAACATACCAGATCCCCGCGCACTGCGTCAACTTTGATAAATCATAATGCTTGATATGCTAGTAATACCTGACTGTGATCATGTCTTTTTTATTTTTCTTTCCTCCAAACCAACAACTGAAAAGAAATACCTGGGAAAAATGTAGAAAATAAAATGTTACTGAAAAATAATTGTTGAAAAAATGAACTCAGTGCGGTGAACAGCTGATATTATACTCTCGTTAGATGTTGTTTTCTTTTTTTTTTTTTTAATTTTTTAATCTACTTTTTTTTATTTTTTTTTTACCTTAAAACCATGTCCCAATATATCGTTTTATTTAGGAAATGCAAATAAAAGTTTCCAATTAGTGCGTTGTTTAGTACCTGTTCCTCTTGGAATTATATTAAATATGACCTATTTAAGTTAAAATGCGAATCTTTTTTCAAAGACACTGTAAATCAATGTCGGAGTTGCAACAACATGCTTCCTGATGATCGCTGCATGATTCATGCTTCTCATGAATCCTAACCCCACCTTCTTCATCATTACCTTTCAAAATTCATCGTATATTTCTCTCTAGTAATTGATCTATTTGAATGTTAGGTATGTCTTCCAAGTTTTGCATTTTCATTGAACGAATGTCCTGCAAATTCTGTGTTACAATGAGAGAAAGTGCTGTGCTAATCATGATCTTGGAACAAGAAGTTGCATATTCTGTCGGTGAAATTGTTTTGCTTTAAAATATTTGTCGGTCATACAAGAGCATTTACTTATACTTGTCTATGCAAGCATTTCCCCTCATTTGGAAGCCACGCAATGAAGAAGCTTTTTGATTTACTGCTGAAGAGTTCCAAAAAGAATGAAGCAGAATGACTGCGGGGGAGCGTGTCGTCAGTTCTCACATGAACATGTTTACAATGGCAAGCAGAGGGAAAATCTTGTGAGTGGTCGTGAAAACCTTACCAGAGTTGAGAGCTTTGTCTGCTGCGCTGATGTAAAGATACTTGAACTGAATGGAAATGACCCAACGTATCGGGTTGTCAACATCAATTTGAAAGGATGTGTAACAAAACTCTGGAACAATATGTTCAAAAACCTAAGCATTCACCCTGCATCGTTTTTTGACAATTCTGAAGCCCTCACTTCCAAGTCGCGGCCAAATTGCTGTGTACCAGGCTGTCATTATGAGGGAGAAAGGAAGCAAACAACGATGAAATCTTTCTCAGAAACCAGTAAATATGAATACCGAAAACCATGCTGGTGGCATTCAGAGCCCATTAGAGCCAAGAAAGTAAAAGCGGCTCTAAAATATTGCATATTAGATAAGATTGCTGAGCCTAAAATTTGTAATAGTCTCTTAGTTGAACTGCAACACGTTTTAGCTAGATTTCCATTTACAGATTTACACTTCTATTGGGATATATTGCGAGTCATACATGCTGAGATTGAAGTACATAAACGTACAAAAGGGTCAGTCAACGAATGTAAGCACAAGATCAAAACAGAGCAATTGCACATGCTTAGTTATGCCATTACCAGACTTATTTTCCAGCTGTATTTCATCACCAGTGGAAATCCCTTGCTTCCTTTCAGAGGAACAAAATCGTGTAGCCAGGCTCTCCATTACCTCAAAGAGGATTTTCCAGACCCGGTAACCGGCGAGTGTACTATCAAACCATTCCCACGTATAGCCAGATCTCGTCGTCGTAGTACACAGGATTATGCTAATTCAGACAAAGGATGCGGTTGCCTGCCTTTTGGCCTTTTCTCACGCGTCATCGGTCTCTCCGGACCGCAAGAAGGAATTAGAAGCTTGACTTTAAAAGTTGATAACTTTCCAGACGAATTTACTTATTTTGATTTAAAGTCCTTAACATATTTAATCTGTAATTTAAACCGCAGTCTTCAACTGGAATTCATTAAAGGATCATCCGGGAAATGTCGAGTTCCCAACTGTTCATATCCTGCACCAGTTAGGAATGAACGAATAATAAAAGAATTAAAATCAAGTATTCGTGCCATTGAACAGCTACTTGTTTACCTACGGAGACTTAATTCCTTCAAGCCAACAATTTCCTCCAAAGTCCACGGGAACCAATTACCCAGAGGCATGCTTAGCAGTGCCAGCATCGGATGTAAGAGCACCTTAAAAAATGGACGAAACCTCGCTGAAATGAAGGTTGAAAAGGGAATTGAAGTCGACGCACATCAAGTTAAAAAGTGTCTTCCACATCCTCACCAAGATTTTCCAATTGACTTTAGACTTTGCTCTCCGGCGAGAGTAAAAAACTC